TATATATATATATATATATATATGCATGCATAAATATACATATAAGGAGAAAGAGGAGGAAAAGAGGAACAAGATAAACTTTTTTGCAGAGAATAAGGATGTATATATAAGAAGTTATGTGCATTTATGTATCTATCTGTATATGTATATGTATATATACATATGTATATGTATATGTATATGTATATGTATATGTATATGTATATGTATATGTATATGTATATGTATATATGTATATGTATACAACAGCACCAGGAAAAAGAAACACCACCACCACGAACAACAACAACAACAACAACAACAACAACCAGCAGCAGCAGCAGCAAAAAGAGTAGAAAAAACAGCAGAAAAAACAGGAGCAGCAAGAGCAGCAGGAAGAGTAGACAATAGAATATACCATTAGGTACAGTAATCTCTACTTCTAATTCTTGTTGGCTAATATTGTCTCCTTGTTCCTTCATAATATTATGCATAACTGATTGTAATTCTTTTATATCTATTAATTGTCCCTTTATATAACAGGAGACACCATCTCTTCTTGTCTCCTTAGAGGAAGAGGAAGAGGAAGAGGAAGAGGAAGAGGAAGAGGAGGAGGAGGAGGAGACACCAGAGGAGGACGTTTCTCCTATTGTCTCCTTTTCTATTGATGGCTTAAGTATTATTACTACTGGTTGCTTTGTTCCTGTGTCTGTGCTGCTGTACCCTATAGGACCACCCATTATATAATCTGCAGTAGCAGCAACAGCAGCAACAGCAGCAACAGCAGCAGCAACACATACACATACATATATATATTCCTACTGCTGATGCTGCTGTTGCTGCTGTTGTTTGTTGAGTCTCCTTACGCCATCTCTACACCGCAGCAGCATATCTTACAACAGCAGCAGCAGCAACAGCAGCAGCAGCAGCAGCAAACAGCAGCAAACAACAACAACAACACCAAGAGCAGCAGGAACCCCAAAACCCCCAGCAGCAGCACCACCACCACCCTCAACAGCAGCAGCAGCACCACCCCCAACAGCAGCAGCAGGAGCAGGAGCAGGAGCAGCAGCAGCAGGACTAACCTAATAAGGTAGTCTTGCCCATACTTTGTTGACCAAAGACAACAAGACGAGGAATTTCTGCCTCTAAGCCCGCCAACTTTAATAGTTGGAAGCATAAGAGGTAGCTGCTGTTGCTGTCTCCTGCTGCTGCTGCTGCTGCTGCTGCTGATGATGTTGACTGTGTACCTGTTGCTGCTCCATCTGTTGCTGCTGCTGCTGTTGCTGCTGCTGCTGCTGATGCTGCACGCATCTTATTTATTATCTGTCTTGCCTTCTCTAATGCCTCAGGAGACACATCGCATAAACGTTCAACTAATTGCTGCGCAGGACTACCGCTTGCTGCTGCATCGAACCTGCTGCTGCTGCTGCTGCTGCTGCTGTTGCTGCTGCTGCTGCTGCTGCTGTTTGTTGTTACTAATGCTGTTGAGGATGCTCCTCCTGTATTATTATTTGCTGCTGCTGCAGCTGTTGACGGAGGGAGGGATGATCCCCCCCTATTCCTTCCTGTAAACATACTCATTGTATTGAGTAATGGGGTGTATAGGCAGCTTTATCTTCTCTTTCTCCTGCTGCTGCTGCTGCTGCTGCTGCGGCTGCAGCAGCTGCTGCTGCAGTTGCTGTTGCTGTTGCTGCTGCTCTTGCTGCTGCTGTTGCTTCTGCTTATATGGATACTCCTGGTATTGCTGGTATTGCTGCTATTGCTGTTACTGCTGCTGCTGCTGCTGCTGCAGTTGCTGCTGCAATTGCTGCTGCAATTGCTGCTGCTGCTGCTGCTGCTGCCGACAGCACCTCTAAAGCGTCTCTTGGCTTCTTTTTATAATAACAATCCCTATAAATAATAATTAAATAGAAAAAAGAAGAAAAAGAAAAAAAGAGCAGACGGAGGGGGGCCCCCCTACCTGCATGCATAGAGGGAGGAGGCGCACAAAGGGTCCTAGGGGCCTCCTCTTGTTCGTTGCTGCTGCTGCTGCTGCCTCTTCTACTAATTGCAGTGTACGTACACCGTAAATATAGAGACATAAACAGTTATAAAAAATAAAAAAGAGGCAATTAACCTATAACTAATAACAAGGAATACGAGGAACAGGGGAGGGGGCCCCTCCTCTCCCTTTCCCTTGAACGGGGGCCCCCCTATGGGACGCCGTGCTCGGGGACTGTTCTGCCTGTAGGGTTCAGCAAGGGTTTAGGGTTTAGGGTTTAGGGTTTAGGGTTTAGGGTTAATTAGGTACATAATTCATATATTATTAATAAGGATAATACTCCTTAAAGCGACACAAAGGGCGTCAGGTGTATATACAGCTCCCTTACCAGCAACTGTCTCCTAAGGAGACACGTTATTGTCTCCTATAAGGAGACAAGAAAGGAGACACTGTATTGTTGTCTCCATAGGAGACAAAAAAGTGTCTCCTTAGGAGACAGTTAATAGTTCCTTAATAGGAGACACCCTAACACTTATTATTATCTGTATATACACAGTAACTGTCTCCTTTTCCTCCCCTCCTCCTTATAAGTGTCTCCTTTTCCTCTCCCCTACAAAAAGGAGACACTTACTTATACCGTCTACTGTCTCCTTTTGTTTCTAACAGCAACACATATCCTCTTTCCCCTTTCTGTCCCTTCCTCTAGTGTAGATCCCCCTGTATCCTTTGTCTCCTCTTGCTCCTTTGTCTCCTTTGTCCCCTTTTCCCCTTATTATTATCTCTTTATACTGTCTCCTAACTATTAAATAAAGTGTCCCCTTAATTAATAAAAAGAATAAAATTATTTATAATTATCTACGGTGTCTCTGCATGCATAAAAAGCCCCATTATACATACTTATATGTTTTAGTGTCTCCTTTTAGCAGCAGCAGCAGCAGCAAACAGACATTGCTGCTGCTTAAAGGAGACAGTCTCCCCTTTTAAGGAGACAGTCGCCCTCTATATGGAGGCAGTCCCCTCTCTATAAGGAGACAGTCTCCCTAAATATAAGGAGACAGTCTCTCTCTATATGTATAAGGAGACTGCCTCTCTATAAGGAGACAGTCTCTATATGGAGACAGCCTCTATATAAGGAAGCCGTTCTCTCCCTATAAGGAGACACTCTCCTCTGTATATATAAACAACAACACCTCTTATAGGTGTATCTAAGAGACAGAAGGAGACAGGGGAAGGATAATATAAGAGAGTAAGGAGACTATTTAATAAAATATTTATTTATTAATTATTGTCTCCTATATACACTTATTTAATTAGATAATTATTTAATTATATACGTATTTATTTATATATTTCTGTATATCTGGCGGTTTTTTGGCGGATTCTGCTTGTAGACGGCTCCTCACTGTTTTTTTTTTTTTTTTTTTTTTTTTTT